TAGTCTGTCTACTGACTGACTGTATGGGTCTTTTAGTCTGTCTACTGACTGTATGGGTCTGTTAGTCTGTCTACTGACTGTATGGGTCTGTTAGTCTGTCTACTGACTGTATGGGTCTGTTAGTCTGTCTTCTTGCTGACTGTATGGGTCTGTCAGGATGCTGTGGAGGAATCTTGGATCAGCTAAGAAGTATTTCACTGCTTTGTTTCAGTCTGAAGCATCTAGATTTCATCTGAATGCTGTTATTGCATGTCATCCTGCAACATTGATTGTTTGCTTCGTTTGCAATCATTCTGCCTTTGATGATCCAATGATTGATCCGTGAACGTTGTGTTGTCAAAGAGATGTCCCGCCTACCGGACTTCATTCTTCTTCTTTCTTTGTTTAAGTTCATGCTAACATGCAAGAGGTTAAATTATGGTTGAAAGGAATTGAATTAACTCAATATGCAAACATCAGTTGAGGCTTTTTTACTGACAGAGTTAAACTATTATGGAAAATTGTTTCCTTACTGAGGAAACTTTATTCTCAGCAACAACAGCTGCAGTTTTCTTAGTCTGGTTCCTGAATAAGTGTGGCAGCAACTGTTAGCTCTACCAAACATGGTAGCTTGGTTTAGAAAACTGGTTTTAAAAATCATCAATTTGCTAACAAAAACAATCCAAAATAGTTCTTTGATAAATTTTGTATTTTCAGCATTTTTTAGCCCCTTTTTTGTCCCATTATACTAATATCCTGCTTTTAGACTGCAGAACAAATCCATCATTTCCTGGATTCTTTTCATTGAGCAAACATTTTATTGCAAAATGTTTTTTTTTTATAACCTAATTATTGCACCGTATGGTTTCCCTTGGGTCCCACTGAAATTGATGCACTATTAATTAAGTTAATACTGGTTAACTGGTTAACCCTAACCAGTTAAAGCATTTCTATGTTGCCTGTTTAAGTCATCCTGGTCATTGGAACCACAAAATAGGCTTAAATTGGAAAACTACCGGTTGGTCCTGAGGAGCCAACAGAACGGAAAAAGATAGAATGGAAAATAGGTTGAAAAGTCCAACTTTATGTTCTTCTGTATGTTTATGTCATTAATAAGGTGTTTCTTTACTGCTGCGATGGACTGGCGACCTGTCCAGGATGGACCTGTCCAGGATGGACCTGTCCGGGGTGGACCTGTCCAGGATGGACCTGTCCAGGGTGGACCTGTCCAGGATGGACCTGTCCAGGGTGGACCTGTCCAGGATGGACCTGTCCAGGGTGGATTTGTCCAGGGTGGACCTGTTCAGGGTGGACATGTCCAGGGTGGACCCCGCCTCTCGCCCATTGACTGCTGGAGAGAGGCACCAGCAGCCCTCGTGACCCCACTCAGGACAAGCGTGTCAGATAAGGGAGGGATGGTTGGATGTTTCTTTACTGTCTGCCTGTTTCTCTTGTTTGTTGCCTGTCCTGTTTGAAAACGTCCCCCTGCTGTGGGACTGTGGAGGAAAATTAGCCCCCATGGCTAACTCTGTGGACCTTTAAACTCATTTTAATTAATCATCACCTTCTCATCTCCAATCAATCAATCAAAGGATTGTCCCACATTTTGCTGAATCTGCTGTTATAAAGTGCAGGACATCATAAAGCAGAGCGAGCAGGAACAACAGGAACCTTTTGCTCTTGATGGATATTCCAGCTTTTTTGCAGCAATCAGTTGATGTTTACTCTGCGAGGTGCAGCTCTGGCTTCAGGCCTCGTGTTAAGATCAGGTTACAAAGCAAACAGTGGGTCAGTGAAGAGAGCAGCAGCATGTTGTGTTCAATCAGCAGCTGATCCTCCATGAAGCCTCCAACCCAGCAGGAGTCACATGGTCAACCACATAAAAGACAGACTTTAGCCTTTTCTATTGAGGTTTTTCTAATTGATCCCTGTTAGTCTGTCTTGTTAAACCTGCTGAATGAAATGCCTAACCCTAAACCTTTCCAAAGGTCATGATTCTTGTTGAACCCAATAACCACTAAAGTCTGGGTAAACTATTCACTAATCATCCTACTTATGTATTTATATTTCCTGCAGCTTAAGCTCAGTTCCCATCCAAACTGGACGGTGCTCAAACTGCTCCTTCTCTTATAGTTTATGATTTTCTCAGTTTCAGGTGCAGCAAGACTCAAAAGCCGGTTTCACACATGGTGTCTTTGATGTCTGTTTTATCTCTGGCTGAGCAGTTTTTGGCGCGGCAGAACTCGGGAGTCTCATGTCAGTTTTCATCATGGCTTCATATCTCATATAGTCCCCATGCTGGAATCCTCCAGATGGCTTTTTATAACCATCAAATGGCAAACTTCCTGCCTCCATTTTCTTTATAACCACCAACAAACTGCAGGATTCTGAGCTGTTATGTCTCATAGTGACCATGAAGCTTCTTGATGCTTGAGGAGGACTGAATCATTCAAACCAGCGACTTGATAAAATCTGCTGGGTTTTATAATTCGATGCATAATTTCAATAACTGGCTGAACGTGTTTTAAACGATTAATTTTTAATAGAATCTGCATGATTCACTTTAAAGCTGTTTTTGCTCATATTTATGACTAACTGAAGTGAACTGGATATATTTTTTTGTTTTTTTTTTGGTTTAATATTTCCATTTCTGACCTTGAAGGGATTTTTTGCAGCAGCTAAATCTTTAGCTCCTGCATCAGATTTAAATTCAAATTTTTTTTTTTTTTCAGAAAGAGGTTTAATTTGTCTTTTCTTAAAAGAAAGTTGATGTTCCCATTCAAACTAAATCTGCATGAGTTTGAACATTTTACAAGCTCAGCTCTTTAAAGTCGTAGGGAAGCGGCTGTTCCAACCGTTGCATTTCCGAATTCTCCCGAGTGGTGC